CAAGGAAATAGCGGCTCCGGTCTAGAAACCCGAGATTAACAGCCGTGGGGAACCGTTGCGCTGACCACGTGACACCCTCTATCCGCAAAAATTGGCACTAATTTCGACAACAAGCGGCGGTCGCTCGGTCGGTATAGTTCGCTTGCGGACTACAGGCCACGGAGTTCATTGTTTTTATGGTCTATATATTTTTAGTGCTTGACATTGTCCAGGAATAGATACGCGTTCTGCCATTTTCTGATACTTCAGCATCTCGAATTTTGAATTAAGTTACCGTGAAAATATGAATGAGAAGAATGTCTTTCTCAGCGTGAGAAGGATCTTACAGTGTTCGTTTCTTTCCACACAGGCCAAAGGGGCGTCCTAAAAACTTAAGTACCATGTCATGAATAGAGGCGTAAAGATGGAGGTAGAGCTCCCTTTTTTCTTATCCTCTGCACAAGATAAGTTCTGAGCATCATGCTTCTGTCTTGTTTACCACAAAAGAAAGTTCTCCTCAGTACCTGCTGGATATGGCCGTTCCGGACCGGCGAATTGTAAGTTGCAATGAGCGACTGACATGTGATCCGGTTCATTGAGGAATGTACCTATTACCAAATGCTCGTTACCGGCTGCTCTGTGAGGCCTTGTTCCTGTCATACAGTTTCTAGAGACAAGTTCCGTGATTAAAACTTGACGGCCTTCTGTTTTTTCCCCCCCTTGGCACTACAGCCCCAGTGGGCCTAGGCCCACCTCCATGAACTTCTCCGTTCACTTCGGTTTTTCTAGATCTTACACATTCGGTGGGACTCCTTGGGCGGGTGATCAGCTCGTCGCAAGGCCTCTACCTGTACACAAACACAGAAAAACGCACACACATAAACAATATCCATGCCCTGAGTGGGATTCGAACCCACGATCGAGGTTTCCAAGCGAGCGAAGACAGTAGATGCCTTAGACCGCTCGGCTACCGTGACCGGCGGCCTTCTGTTTATCATAATTCCGCATCGTTATCGCCGTCATAAACCTAAGAGTCAGGCTATAGGACTTATAAAGTAAAAGTTATAGACCATCTTACCTTTTAATGGAGTAGTTGTTTATTTTTCATAAATTTATCGCTATTGTTACAAATTAAATTCAATAAACTGCTTCTCGCGTTTTTTTTTTTTTTGGCGTGCCATCAATAAACCTTGCTAGAGGTACTCTTCTACCAATATTGGCTCTCAGAAACTATACCACATCAGGTACAGATGTTGTTTTACTGCCTCATTTACGAGAGAGAGCAAACATGTTTTCATCCCTGCTGGGCGATCAAAGGGAGTGCGAGAGTGTAATGAAGCGATCTGAACATGAATGCATAATCATGGTTAGTAGGGCGGCTTCTGCAGAGGTCCACATTATTTAGTATTACCACCCGTATTTTCAGTTTAATATCCTCTTAAACGTTTTTTTTAAACCTGGGACTCCTATAGAATATACGTAATTCTGATTGTTAATAAATAATAATAATAAAAAAAACCTGGGACTGTAGAGAAGGAAATTCTTTCACTCATAAAGAAACATCTAGCTCATCAGAAGAGAGAGGTTGTGAGGCCAAGTTGTAGATGGGAAAAGTAGTTAAAATGCCAGATTAAGAGTATTGTCTTCTGGGATGTTACTCCGTATAATCTGGTAGAAGTTTACAGACTTTTCTGCTTGCTGCTTTCTTCACTTTTCCACCCTGAAGATGGATGCAGTTTATTCCTCAGCATAACGCCGCAGGATGCAGAATTCATCTGTGTTAAAGTGGAGTTTTAATAAATATGGTAAGCCCTGTGAGGATGTGCACTTGATTAGTGATTTTTTGTTTTGAAAAATAAATGTACATAACAAAAGAGGCTTAGGCAATGCCCATCCGACCTTCTGTAGCACATTCTTATAAACATCTTATTCTATTAGAGCGGTCACTCCTCGAGTTTTGAATATGTTTCTTAACAATTAGAATATACTATTAATATTTATACATTTATTTTTTAAATACATTTAGGAATTTTATTTATGAAACAACAGACCCCTTCCTCTAGCCTTAAGAGCTTTGTAACTGACTTTTCTCAGACAAAATGTCCGTCATTGTTACACTTTGGTGCTCGTACAGTTTACAATCCCAGAAGATATGTTCTTCCGTTTGCAGCCCGTCACCACGTTTGCATTCAACCGTGGACACAATGTTAAATCTGCTTAAGTTTGCTTTAAGACCGGAGTGGCCTGCTCTCATACGGGGTATTGACACGAAGTCACGACAGTTCATTTTTATTTTGCGGAACCACGGGGACGAGCCATTCCTGTAATAGCTTTCTCCTCTCCGTATGGTTCAGGATGGGACCAGTGGCGGACTCTCGTGGACACGGTAGTGAACCTTCGGGTTCGATAAAACACTAACTTTTTGATTAGCTGAGTGAAAATTAGCTTGTCAGTATAACCCCGCGCCATGGATTTAATTGTATAAATGCGGAGTGCCAAAATTAGATGCTTATAGCGGTGACAAACACACGCCTCTAATAACTGTGACTCGGTCTCATAGCAGATTGAAAACGCGGCCGGCCACGGCATCAGGAAGGTAACCGATTCGAATTTCGACCGGTATAAGACTACGCGCTTCAAACAATTTGGTCGCCGAGTTTGGCTCTGTTCAGGTTGGCTACTAGGTTGTTTAAGGTCGCTGTATCATCTGCGAGGGGTTATTTTGTGTCAAGAAATTATTCACGTTGAACTAGAAATGGATGGGTGAGGTATCATGGCCTGTCTTGATATGCAGTCTTTGCATTCGTCAGGAGGGTTAGAGGAAAACTTACAACAAACATTGTTCGTGCCAAGATACAAACCGGATGCCTCATGGATGTCAGCCGTATTACCTCTTCAGCTAACCTCGAATATTTTACATTCCTTGTGTTGAAATATTACTCGACAAATAAAGTTCTTTTGAATATATGGAAGGCCCGCGTTACTGAAAATGGGTTGCTGTATCATGGTGCGTAGGCCCATGTAAACCTACGCATGTGATTTTGAAGGAAGACAAGAAACATTCAGAATTATTGTTTTTATTTTTCCATCTTTCGGTATTCTAGAGGCTAGACAACACGACATTTCGGAAACTGGATCTGTTTCGCCCTCGCCTGAGTACAGAAGCAGATCCAGTTCCCAAAGTATCGTTCTTTTCTAGTCTCTAGAATATCGGATGATGGAAAGAGTAAAAAAAGAGAACACTAATAGTGAACCCTTTAGGATCTACAAGAAACCGTCTTCTTTTAATTCCTTTGCGGACTATAATTTTCCAAGACACGTCTCACATTGGCTTTATCGGATAATCTGAAGGTAAGGTAAAGTTGTCCCTGTGCTTATCTAATTAAACACTATTCGATCCCGGGTCTGGTCAAGTGGGATTT